TGCTCCAGGACAGCGCGTCCGAGAGCAACATGCCTCTTCTTGCAGAGGATGCGCAAGCGGGACTGGGGAGGGGGAAGGGGAGGGGGAGGAAAGACGGGCGGAGGGGACAGGACCTGCAGCCTACCAGCAGCGCTGCTCTGGCGCCCAGCCAGACACCAGCAGATCTTACAGCCGGTGCCGCAAGCGCCCATGGACCATGCAGACCAGGCTGCAGGTGACCCGGGTTGCTGTCCTCTCCCTGCCATGGAGAGCCCTGACCTTGAATTCTCTTGCCCGGAATGACTCAAGGAGGCGAAGGCTAAGCACCCCTACTAAAGGCAGGGGCTCATGTTGCCCAGCCAGGAATGAATGCTTGGCTGGATGTGGTTGCTAACCCCATCCCCCAGGAGACTGCTATGGGGCACCCAGGAAAGCAGACCATACCTTCTGGCTTGTTTCTATAGAAGCAGCGTCAGTCAGCGGGGGTCTCCTTTCCCTCTCTCTTCTCTCAATGCCCTTGGCAATAAGGGACAACTCTCCTGGTTCTGCAGGCAATCGGAAACAGCACCACCCAGCAGCCCCCACACACTTCTAACTCACTCATTAGCATCCATCCAAATAATCAGACATTCAAGCATTTATTAAGGCTTCGCATGTGCCAGGAGGAACAGAAGATAAACAACATTCCTACACTCATAGAGCGTTTGGTCAGGGAGAGGGAGATAGTAAATACAAAGCCAGGTAATTATAATTATGACCAGGGTATTAGAGGTAAGCAGTGCTGTAAGAATGCACACTGGGACCCTAAACTATCTTGGCAGTCAGGAAAGGCTTCTCTGAGGAAGTGACACTTGAACTGCTGAGGCGGGAAGAGAAGTTATCCAGGTGGAGGGAAAGTTCAGACAAAGACCCTGTTATTAAAGTGTAAGCTCACTCCATTCACAGATGGAGATGATCAAGCAGAAGGGAACCGCCATGCTGAGACACCTGGGCCTTTGTCCAGGAGGGGACATGGGGAGGCTGCCCGGCCCTAGAAGAGCGTCTTGACGTCTGTCCAAAGAGGCCTTTATACCCTTTACCTCCCTTCCCCTGAACCATGCTGTCCGACCTCCATGGAAGAGCTCTGAACAGGGAGTGGCGAGACTTCACTTCTCGCTCCAAGTCCATCATCAGTTTGCTGTGTGGCTCTACAGAAATCCCTTCCCCTCTCTGGTTTCAGTTTTTCTACCTAAAACGAGGGGTTGGGTTACAACAGTGTTTCTCCACTTGTTTTTTAAAATCCATACTCCCTTTTGGATAAATATTCCCTTTTGGATAAATATACAAATGTCAATCCTATCCTATAGCATCTATGGCAAGCCATCAAATCATTTTCCAAATCAAAAACTATAATATTGAACAAGCTTTTAAAACTACATATGCCTTGCCGGCCGGCATAGCTCAGCGGTTGATTGTTGACCTTTGAATTAGGAGGTCACAGATAGTTCGATTCCAGGTCAGGGCACATGCCCAGGTTGCGGGCTCCATCCCAAGTAGGCATGCAGGAGGCAGCCAATCAATGATTCTCTCTCATCATTGATGCATCTATCTCTCTTTCTCTTCTCTCTGAAATCAATAAAAATATATTTTAAAAAATAAAACTACATATGCCCTCTAAGTATTAAGCAATATTCTGTCTTTAGATGTCTGATGAAGATAACTTGGAGCCAAGCTCATCCTTTTCCTGTTATTGGTCACTCTCCCTCCCACATGAACCCCTGGCCACCAGCACTTATCTCTAGCCTCCTTTCTTTTATTCTTTACAGGATAAATTGGCCAGACAATGAACAGAAACCCTGGGTCATCATAAAAAAAAAAAAAAAAGACATGCTGTGGAAGATTCCTTTGAATGATAATGTCCAGTGTTGCTGGGAAACAGACAATTTGAAGGAAGCATACACAGTTCCTGGGGACAATTTAGCAATATGAATTAAAAGCCTTAAAAATGTTCATCTCCTTTGAACCACTGATTCCACATGGAAGAATTTATCCTCAAGCATAAGTATGGATGAACACAAAGATTTATCCACAAGGATGTTCACTTCACCATTTTTATAACAGCAAGTAATTGAAAATAACCTGTTTCTCTACCTAAAATGAGGAGATTGGTTACAGTGGAATATATGCAACTTTAAAAATGATATATAGGATATTTACTATATTGAATAAAACAAAACCAAGGTTACAAAACAAGTGATTCCAATTGTGTGTGCATGAGTGTGTATGTTGCGGGGACGGTTTAAGCACCTATAATGGAGTTGCAGTGTTCCTTTTTCTTACTGGTTGACTCAGAGCCTACCCCCTAGAGCAAAACATGATGCCACTGTGATATGTCATCCTCACAAATAAATCTATTAACCCATATTAAAGTTATAGAAGCTCAATATTAAAACAGAATGAAATAAACCTTACAGGCAGGCAGAGAAAGAGTTCAATTCTTTACCATCTACTCACCATTAATCTTACAGGTAGATTGGTTTTCCCCCAGGACTTTTCATTTCATATAGATTTTTCTGTTGTTCTTTCCTTGAGTCTAGTTCAATGGTTTCCAAACTTTACAGTGCATAAAAATGACTGTCCATGGTGGTTTGGGATAATTTTGACTTAATGAGATTCCCCCCCTCCGGCCCCCCCACATTCTGAATTTAGAACCTAATCACTGTATGGAAAAAAAAAAAAAAAAAGATTACCAGATGGATATTTACCAAAATGTTAACAATGTTGGATTTTTATTTCCTCTCTTGGGATTTTCAAGTTGTCTGACAATAAACATATATTAGCTTAGTCATGAGAAAATAAATGCTGCCTAAAAATAAGTGGGTTAGCCTGGCCAGCGTGGCTCAGTGGTTGAGTGTCGACCTATGATCCAGGAGGTCATGGTCTGATTCCTAATGAGTGTACATGCATGGGTTGTGGACTCAATCCCCAGTAGGGGGCGTGCAGGAGGCAGCCAATCAATGATTCTGACTTATCATTGATGTTTCTATCTCTCCCTCTCTCTCTCTGAAATCAATAAAGAAATATATTTAAATATATATTTTAAAATAAGTGGGTTAAAAAAATCTCCAAAAAATAAAAAGAAACTGTCTTGACCTTAAAAGGGGTGACTCTGACCATGCCCTTCATATCACTACCTTCTGCAAGCTCTGATACTGTCCCAGTTGGTGCCCCAACATCCAAGGACAGGCTGTACATCGTCGCTAGGAAACCATGCAGGAAAACTGGCAAGAAAATTATTTTTACATTTACCTCCTGGGCTGTGCTTATAATAATGCTTAGCAGCTTAGACTAAAGGGTCTGAAATGAAGCAGCCATGACAGTCAGCTAATGGATCTGTCCCCTACCTCTGAAACTCTCTACCAAATATTCTTAATAAGCTGAGAACATGTAAGGCATATACCCTTGTTCCTAAGGAGGTTGAAGAAACTATTCAACCTGCTTTTCAAGACCTGGTAGTGCCACCAAGCACATTGGCAAGGACCACAAGGACCAGCAGAAAAATAACAGGCCATAAATCAAACTGGGCTCAGCCAGTAACTAGTTGGAGAATCTGTGCCTCCATTTCCCTCTGAGGAAAACAGCCTTATTAATAACGGCTCTACTTTTCTTTTAAGGGGTAGATACAAAAGCACTAATATAACAATGGGAAACTGTAACCCACCCCACTATTCTTTTGACATTGTTTCTGTAAATGCTGACTCTGACAAATATGTACCTTATAGATAAACAGCATGTTTGTATAAGAATCCTAGGAACTAGTTTCAGAAGATATAGACTCCGACCTCCAGTCACCCCAGTTCTGGGAGAGTTGCTGACTTTCAACCATAGAACCAGAATGACGTAGAACCAGGATGACGAAGACCAGGATGATGCACACCAGACCACCACTTAACCAGTTTTGAGATCATTATTAGCATGGACTGTGCTAGCCTATGCTAGCCTACAATGTAGAGAACTTTTTAGTTTATTTTTTTCTTTGTTTTTTTAATCCTCATCAAGGATATTTTTTCCATTGCTTTTCAGAGAAAGTGGAAAGGAGAGGGAGGGGAAGTAGGAGAGGGAGGGGAGGGGGAGGGAAGGGAGGGGGAGAGGGAGACATCAATATGAGAAGACACATCAATTGGTTGCCTCCTGCCCTAACCGGTTTGGCTCAGTGGATAGAGCATCGGTCTGCGGACTGAAGGGTCCCAGGTTCGATTCTGGTCAAGGGCATGTACCTTGGTTTCAGGCACATCCCCAGTAGGGGGGGGCGTGCAGGCAGCTGATCGATGTTTCTCTCTCAGCGATGTTTCTAACTCTCTATCCCTCTCCCTTCCTCTCTGTAAAAAATCAATAAAATATATATTTTTTAAAAATTGGTTGCCTCCTGCATGCACCCCACCAAGGCCAGGGATTGAACCTGCAACCCAGGTACGTGCTCTTGAACCCATGACCCCTTGGTGCTTGGACAGACACTCTTAATTTTTGACCCATACCAGACAGGGTGTAGAGAACTTTTCAACCCCCTCTCCTTGGTTTCTTTGTTCTGCTTTCCCTCTCCCTTCTTATAAAAACCTCTACCTGCACTGAGATGTTGAAATGGGCTTTGTGACAAAAGTCCCCCCATCTTCTCTGGTGGCTGACACGTGAATAAACCTCTTTCCTTTTTCACAAGCACCTGTCTCACTAGTTTGGCTTTTGTGGCAGCAGGCAGCCGAACCTTGGTTTCAGTTCATTAAGACAACGTGAACAGCATCATTTCTGTGTAGGGTGTTATTTAATGAAAATATATGCTGGGACTTCGGGGGTGGGGGTGTACTGGTTAGTTGTGGGTCCTTTGGCACAAGGCTGGTAAACAGCAATTTGCCTCATATCTCAAGCTTTCCAAGAACCTAGAGTGCTCACAAACCAGGTGGGCGAGCTGAGGTGACAAAAAGAACTGTGCTGTCTTTCTCTAGGGGCATAACTCAGGAACTCCTAAGTCAAGGACAGAAGGCAGGTGGGATTAAAACTCCAAGCTGGGGCCCTAACTGGTTTGGCTCAGTGGATAGAGCATCAACCTGAGGACTGAAAGGTCCCGGGTTCGATTCCGGTCAAGGGCGTGTACCTTGGTTGCGGGCACATCCCCAGTGGGGAGTGTGCAGGAGGCGGCTGATCGATGTTTCTCTCTCATCGATGTTTCTAACTCTCTACCCCTCTCCCTTCCTCTCTGTAAAAAATCAATAAAATATATTTTAAAAAACAAACAAACAACAACAAAAACAACAACAAAAAACTCCAAGCTGGGGACCCAGGTTCTCAAAACACAATGGGCAAAAACCACCAGGGCAGGATCAAAGGAAGAGGGATGCTTGCCTTATGTGGCCACTCTAATTCAATAATCACGTAATCCCCTACCAGACATTGCAACTTCCCAAATTCTCCGCTCAAAATAAAACACATGACTTCCAGGCGAGCCAGAGCTGCCATTAGGTTACAATTTAAATCCACCTAGAGTCTAATAAAGCTAATTTTACTGTTATGGTGTCTATTAAAACATGGGGCCTTTGTTTAGAGTGAACAGAAGGGAGGAAAGCACAGACTTCAAGGGCTAGGAATTTTGATGAATCCAGAATTATTTCTGGGAAGGAAGTCGCAGGAACAAACATGATTTTTAAAAATAACAGGCCACATGCATCCGAAGGTCCACTCTTGTACAACTATCCAGCCCCCCTGAGAGCAGGCCAACCCTCCATAGCCAGGCAACAGCTTGGGGACAGATATGAGGTACCTGCTTCACATCAATGGGAAATACAAACACACTGACCAAGGAAACCAACTTGGGCCTGGGACTTGGAACTTAAGGATCAAGATGGGAAAAAAGCCTATTTGCTCCATAGTCGGAGACCAAAAGCCACCCAAATGAAAGCTTTGAGAAAGTGAATAATAAGTAAATATACAGGGTAGGCAAAAGTAGGTTAATAATAATAAATAACAATAATTAATAAATAATAATACAAGAATAAACTCTGTGTTTCATGTACTCACAACTGTAAATCTTTTTGCCCACCCCTGTATTTAGTTACAGAATTTTTTTTAAAGCAAGAACAAAACACCCAATTAGCTAGAGCACATGTCTATGACCAGTGATCTTCAGACATCCATTTTAATTAGAAAAACTTCAGGTGATTGTTTAAAAAGCAGAGCCCAGGGGTCCATCCCCAGAGACTCTCATGACAGAAGCCTAGGGTGAGCCCAGGAACCTGTATTTAGCAAGCACCCAGGTGTTTCAGTGGCTTGTGTCTGGAGCCCACACTGTGAGATATTCAAAGCTACAGGGCCAGGAGGACCTAACACTCCTGTCTTCCCTTACCTTCTAGCAGGCCTCACCCAAATAGGCTTAAATCAATTCATAATTGTAGCAGAGTGAATTCATTTGATACCTCTTGTGAAAACTCAACAAAATGAAATCTCAACAAAATTACAACAAAACCAGGGCGTGAAGAATGCCAGAAAGGGGAAAATACAAGTAAAGGCACCACTTCCAGCACACAGGAAGTCCTCTAAAACTGGAACCTTTTTTTTAAATCCTCACCTGAGAATATGTTTTTATTGACCTTAGAGAGAGAGGAAGGGAGAAAAAGAAAGAGAGAGACATTGATGGGGGCCTCCCATTAGCACTCTGGGGATTAAAACCACAACCTACATATGTACCCTAACCACAACCTTTTGGTGTATGGGACAGCACTCCAACCAACTGAGTCACCCAGCCAGGGCAAACTGGTCTCTTTTAAACGGATTAGAATGCTATACTTTTTTATTATTATTTTTATTGATTTCAGAGAGGAAG